TTAAATAATGAAACTATTTATCATTTAATTATCTTTCATCTCGGGTACTCTAGTCCTTCCAGGACTTTCACATATGACTCAATAGTCATTGTAATAATGCTGCCATAAATATTAACTTGCGGAATCATTGATAATGAGAGAACTTATCTAAATAAACATTTGGGTCTCTGCATAAACCCATGAGCATAATCTCGCTATATTTACATCACACCACCACATCACATGTTTCATATAAATATTCATTATCCTTCTGGGATATGTTATCCTCCTGCGATATATCGTGTAGCGAGTGAAAGCTCTGCCTCAATTTTTCTTTCTATCTCAATTAACCTAAGTGCTTCTAGCACTTTCATTATTCTGATCCGGATCATTATATGAGATAGTAAAGAAATTACATAGGCAAGTATGTTGTCGACAACTATGATATTCAACTTATATTTTTCTCTCAACCATATATGCAACTTCTTATTTATTAGCCATATTTATAATCATTTCCCATAATATCTAATTTTGGCCGTTCCACATTTCCAGTACTATAATGGTTTGATGCACGTGCAAGATGTACTGGATCAACTCTTCAGGAGTTTCTCATAAAGGAGTGTTAATTCTTGAATATACATTTTCCGCGGACTTTCATACATCATATATTTATTATATCTCCTTATGCTTCTAGCACTAAGGAGTCAATCATTCCCAAGGAAATTTGCTTACTTTGTGGTACATCGATATATTTATAAATTGGCCACTCCATTATTATTATAGATTTCACTTGGCAGAAATATAATATGAACTTCAAGTTCAATATTTATTGCGTGGTTTCAACTAATTTATATTTCACATATTTCATGGCATTAATAAACTTATGCTCATATCTCCCCCTAATGCCATGAAATCATCTTCATGTATTATGCAAAACACGTACCAAATAATAAACTGATCCCCATAAGGGCCTCTAAGTATTAAAGATTCAACGGAGTATATAAAAAAAATAGCATACCTAGTTTGTAATATAGGCCCATAAAGGTACGAATTGGTGGTGATAAAAAAAATATAAAAATAAATTGCAGATGGGAAATGCTTGAGTCTCCACGCATATTAGGGGGAAATTTTCATAAATAATTGCCCAATATGATCCAACTGCTCATGCTAATTATCAATATATAAGTTGGGCATCGAAGTATAATAATCATTTCTAAGTGAACACTATATGCTTCAGGCACTACAACTATACTTTGCTTGTGAGCCTTTTATTGTAGCTATAAACTATATTATATGCTTCAGGCACCACATATAAATTAACATTATAGCTATCAACAATATAAGTCTGTGGTATGCATCTTATCAAATATACAAGCAAACATAAATAATTTCATAATACTTTTGTATAGATGCAATCTATGTAACATTCTGGTTACATAACTTTATTAAAAGTATGTTGAATATGCAGAGCTGATCTAAAATAAAAAAATCACGAATTTATCCAAAAATCAACGAGATTACTTACTAGATCAATTTGTCAAAGATCCTCGCTAGATAAATCTTATGCAATTATGGTACTGGTCAACAGGACCAATCCTTCAAGGATGACCAAATCTAGGTTGATATTTAAATTCACTAGTGATACTTTTAATTATATAATCTTTCAGGGAAACTCATATCTATAAGTATAAAATTCAAGAGGATATTTGCTCTGCAAT